GTAATAAGGTTGGTTATATCCCATATTAAGTAAGTTTTGGGAAATTAAATTTTTAATTTGTTTTAAATTTGTCAAATATAATTAAAAAATTATTTAAATATAAATATTACGAAAAATAGCACATCTTTCGAATTAGAGGTTGAATAATTTGTATGTGGCTAGTAAAATCCTCGTTAACAAATGTTTTGAGCTAAAACAGTCACTTCACGACAATTTGTGGCTTGGATCCTTTTAACACCAAGGGCTTCAATTGTTAAATAATTTTTTCACGCTCGTGGATGCAAATCAAGTAGTACCCCGTGTGTCTGGCAATGTTACTCTTCGCGCAAAGGGTTTATACCTAAATAAACGAATGCTTCGACTGAGGTCTGGGAACTCTATGGTATTTTGGAATTATAAAGAATCTGTGCTTTTATTTTAACAATATTGGTTATATTTAGATGTATTCTTATTAATTGAAATACAGATTTGTAGAAGTAATACTTTGACAGTTTTTATTAATATAATATATTCAATTTTTATCTGACCATACCGAAGTAGGGAATTTTGAACCTTTATAGTAATGTGAAATTTGAATTACAATATTACACGAAATTACATAATTATTACTTATTTTAGGTAGGTACTAAATTTGTACTTGGAGAAAGTAATATCGATTTTTACAAGAAAACTTGAAAAGTAAATTAATTTAGTTCCTATTTCTGATGTAAAACTTAAACCAAGAAAACAAATAAATAGTAGTTTGTTCAACAAGGGTGGATATGATTGCCATATCACACAAAGTTTGAGCACGACGTCGTAGGCGGAGTACTCAATCGTCTGATTGTGATGAACAATCCACTCGATATGGTCAGTATATTTTTTCTACGACCCACTAACGAAAATCTACAAATTTAAAAAATGATTTTAGATTATTTAGACAAAATAACTAATTTTAAAATAATTTACGAAGTTGGCTAATTTATAAAATAAAATAAACATGAAAAAATAATGAGTCCTCGGCCTAGATTCGATCCCGGGCTTTTAGCGTGGAAGGCAGATGCTCTATCCTCATCTTCACCGAAACTTTCAGGACTTTAGTTTTAATACTCGTAATTAAATTAGTATCATGTAGTTTGATTAAAAAAAATTTTTTTAAATGTGGACACAATAAAAACAAAAATGCTATTATTCATCGAGTCTACACAAAAATTTTAATGTACTTTTTCGTTTTGTAGTATGTGCGTAGATTGGCTAATATCCATGCACAGATTACAAAACGAAAAAGTACATTGCCTTTAATTGAACGAATATATTTCATATTCATTCTAGGTAGTAAGAACACTGCAACAAAAAATAAATTCGTCAATCACCGTTCCTATTTTGATCAACCGACTGCTATTATTTTTAAAATTTTAAATAAATGGCAATTCTGTCAAACTAATTGTCAGTATATTTTTACTTTCCTATCTGTATACAGATATGAGGAAAGTATAGGAATCATGATTTTTTTCGACCTCGAGTTTTCGACGGATTTTTACGTTTTGAGGTCCCCTGAATCCGTTTTGACTATTTTCGCGATGATGTCTGTGTGTGTGTGTGTGTGTGTGTGTGTGTGTGTGTGTGTGTGTGTGTGTGTGTGTGTGTGTGTGTGTGTGTGTGTGTGTGTGTGTGTGTGTGTGTGTGTGTGTGTGTGTGTGTGTGTGTGTGTGTGTGTGTGTGTGTGTGTGTGTGTGTGTGTGTGTGTGTGTGTGTGTGTGTGTGTGTGTGTGTGTGTGTGTGTGTGTGTGTGTGTGTGTGTGTGTGTGTGTGTGTGTGTGTGTGTGTGTGTGTGTGTGTGTGTGTGTGTGTGTGTGTGTGTGTGTGTGTGTGTGTGTGTGTGTGTGTGTGTGTGTGTGTGTGTGTGTGTGTGTGTGTGTGTGTGTGTGTGTGTGTGTGTGTGTGTGTGTGTGTGTGTGTGTGTGTGTGTGTGTGTGTGTGTGTGTGTGTGTGTGTGTGTGTGTGTGTGTGTGTGTGTGTGTGTGTGTGTGTGTGTGTGTGTGTGTGTGTGTGTGTGTGTGTGTGTGTGTGTGTGTGTGTGTGTGTGTGTGTGTGTGTGTGTGTGTGTGTGTGTGTGTGTGTGTGTGTGTGTGTGTGTGTGTGTGTGTGTGTGTGTGTGTGTGTGTGTGTGTGTGTGTGTGTGTGTGTGTGTGTGTGTGTGTGTGTGTGTGTGTGTGTGTGTGTGTGTGTGTGTGTGTGTGTGTGTGTGTGTGTGTGTGTGTGTGTGTGTGTGTGTGTGTGTGTGTGTGTGTGTGTGTGTGTGTGTGTGTGTGTGTGTGTGTGTGTGTGTGTGTGTGTGTGTGTGTGTGTGTGTGTGTGTGTGTGTGTGTGTGTGTGTGTGTGTGTGTGTGTGTGTGTGTGTGTGTGTGTGTGTGTGTGTGTGTGTGTGTGTGTGTGTGTGTGTGTGTGTGTGTGTGTGTGTGTGTGTGTGTGTGTGTGTGTGTGTGTGTGTGTGTGTGTGTGTGTGTGTGTGTGTGTGTGTGTGTGTGTGTGTGTGTGTGTGTGTGTGTGTGTGTGTGTGTGTGTGTGTGTGTGTGTGTGTGTGTGTGTGTGTGTGTGTGTGTGTGTGTGTGTGTGTGTGTGTGTGTGTGTGTGTGTGTGTGTGTGTGTGTGTCTGTGTGTGTGTGTGTGTGTGTGTGTGTGTGTGTGTGTCTGTGTGTGTGTGTGTGTGTGTGTGTCTGTATAACGCATAACTCATGAACCGATACACGGAAAAACACCAAATTTCAAACTTAAGCTTTATTCCAGCGTCTAATGAGCTGATTAGATTTTAGGCAGAGTCGGAACATCTGGGGGGGTACTTTATAGGTGGTCATTTTTATATTTTATGGAATATATCTGTTATTTACGTTTGGGGAAGAAAATTTTTTAAATAAAAGTTACTTCTTATTTTATTATCTATAATTTTTGTCATTTGCAAAATTTTCCTAAAATGGTCCGTATTCGAGAAATTTGACAAAATGTAAAAAAATATTTTTTTTTTATAAAAATTGTTCAAACAAAAGTTGTTTGTAATATAATTCTCTATAATTTTTGTCCCTTAGATAATTTCTCTAAAATGGACCGTATTCGAGATATTTGAGAAAATGTGTAAATTTCGAAATTTGAAGAAAACTCAAAAACGGATAAAGAAAAAATCAATAAATTTTAAACTTAAGTTTTATTTCGGCCTGACGTGAAATGATTAGATTTTGGACAAAGTCGGAACATCTGGGGGGGTACTTTATGGGAGGCCGTTTATATATTTTATGGAATATATCTGTTATTTATGTTTGGAGAAGAAAATTGTTCAAATAAAAGTTACTTCTAATATTATTATCTATAATTTTTGCCTTATGTAAAAATTTCCTGAAATGGTCCGTATTCGAGAAATTTGACAAAGTGTGCAAAATTCTGATTTTTATGAAAATTGTTGAAATAAAAGTTGTTTGCGATATCGATATCTATAATATTTGTTCATACATGATTTTTTTTAAATGGACCGTAATGGAAAAATTGTAGGAAAAGTGCTAAATTTAAATTTTTCAGTATTTTCATTTTCAATGAATATCTATAGAAAAATGTTTCGCGGTAGATGTATGTGGACAATGTATATATATTTAGTTTATCCTCTAAACATTTATAGAGATGCTGCAATAGGTTGTACACAATAAACGGAAAAAGCCTGTAATAACTAGATAGGAAAGTCATGTGTTGGACACATCAGATTTTTTAGTTATTGAGATTAAACATACATTAAAATAGGTTATATTCTTTTGAAAAACGTTAGCATGGATGACTAAAGGGTATTGGGTTAATTAATTCTAAAAGTGTGGTACAAATGTTATTTTTTATAGCCAATTCTTCAAAATTATTTTGAAATATCTTTTCAATATTGAATATTAGTTCTACAAATTCATCATTTGACAGTTGCAGATTTCCAAATGTATCTCTGAATTGGCGTTATCAAATGCCTTTAAAAATCAATAAAAAGAAAAATCATCTAATTCAACGTGTTCTTTGTTATATATAAGACAGGTATCACAGTAGTGGATCCTCAAGGCTTTTATTAAAAGGTAACCACACACATACCTGATAAAAATTTTCTGTAGCAACTCGTCTTTACAATAATTTAGGGTGTTAATAATTTCATCATAAAATAAAATACAATGTGTTCCATTTAAAAAACATACATTTTAATTTGCCAGACAAAAACGTGACACCCTGTATATCCAAAGAACTTTTTAAAATATGTAGGTATTTTTCAAATCCATATAACTTTTATTTAAAACTTTTTTGTGTGTTTATAACAAAATAATGAACAATAACGCACTAATGGGACACCCTGTATAAATTATATTTTTAACAATGAAAATTTCTTATAATGTGGTACTTATTGGTTTGGGTCCTTGGGAAAACTAAAGAATGTTTTCTTGCAGGTATAACCCTTATTAAAACAGCTTTTGACTGCACAAACAGAATGATTTCTTTTTCTTTCACTCATTCTACTCACAGCTAAAGAGTCACCAAAATAATAACAGTACCTTTAACTCAAACAAAATCAACAATATAATAGGCTCCACGAAATTATACAATCAACGAAATTATACGCACGACTCAACACCTTACCTAAGTACGCTTCTGAACGCCAAAACCGTCTTTTCCCTCCGAAGGCGGAGCTGTATTGTATAAGCTGTGTAACTACCATCACTCCTTTCACCTTAGTCACGATCCATGGTCTCCTGAGTTCGGCTTGAGAGGCTAGAAATGCGTATAGCGGCCCGCTCCCATTTGGGAGAATGAAATACGTATCTTTTACCCTTTTTATTTTACGTTTAAATTGAGAAGACACAGATGATTGTTATGAGTTCCAGTTAAAATATTTTCATTTTGTAGTCCATCACAAATTTGATACTTGCCTTTTCTTTTTGAAAGTACTCGTTTTATTGAAGGAGCTCTTAAACGTTCAGTAGGCTTTTAATAAAATTATATTTTATTTTCAGATAACTGGTGCAAGACGTTTGAAAGTAAAGAAGAGGAGTTCAAAAAACTACTTACCGCTAAATGTCCAGATTTTCTAGAAGACAAGATCCGCCAAAAAGAAAATTTTGGAATTGAGGGTTCTTTCAGAAAACTTACAGTAGACTAATTATAAAATTTAAGAAAAAATTACTTTTATACTTAAAACATAGGTAAATACCTTCCTGTATCTTAGTGTCAAAAGGTCTGATGTCCAATTTAGCAACTTTACAGTAGAGTAGAACAAACTATTTTCTGTTCACTGTTATACAAAATTATAGCTACTAAATTTATTTAAGTTATTTATTACATTCCAAAAGAAAAGTATTTTTAATAAAACTTATGTTATTAATAGATTTTTGTAAATTATTATTACCAAAAGTTATGGGTAACCAACCGACTTTTTACAAATATTACAAAATATCGCATGTTCTTTTAAAGTATAAAATGATGGTGTTTTTAAATAATGAATTTCAGAATAAAACAAATGCAAATTTCTAAAATACGTTTCTTCTTAGTTTTTCAATATCCATTGTTTATGAAGTATGACGAGTTTGAAAAAACTATGAAATTCGGTGGGAATCATCTGTAGTAAAGTTTAATGGCATTTGTATTTGTCAGTCTTTATAACCTGGAATATTCATAAGACTATTATGGTTTCAGGCCAGGTGATAGCCAATCTTGTATTCCTCTTTAGATTAACCTGTAAAAAGTTTTCTGAATATAATCAATTTTGGAGTAGAGAATTTCGGGATTGGTTTGTTTTAATTGAAGCCAGACTTTGAAATACTATATATTTTTCAATTTGGTTTTCCTGCTTTCAGTTTGTGAGTGTATTAAAATTGATGAGTTTTATTTTAACATTAATTAATTGTGCTTAATCTCTAGGAACTAATATCTTAATTAATCTCTAGGAACTAATATCTTAATTTTTTCTAGTTTTGATATGCACTATCTGTATCAGTATCTGTAAGGTGGAGAGGATGGGTTGCTTCACAGTACTTAGACCTCATAATGCCAATTGTCTATCATCAAGGGTTAAGACCTACCTCTTAACTTGTCAATCAAGAAAAATAATAAAAGAGGTTTCTAACACTGACCTAAGGAATCTATGGTTAACGAATTGGATTACTTTTTTGTGACACTCTGTATATCTTCTACAGTAGCGGCTCGTGGGCACTAGCGGCAGTGGGGTACACACTAAAAAGGAATCCCTTTTTGAGATGAGCAAAATAAAATTTGGTCATACCTTGCCAACAATTTGCGAAAATGTACACCATTAAATTATTTAAAAGACTTTAAAAGACAAATTTTTTAAAGATTTCCTCTCCAGACGGGCAAATTTTCAGCTTGCGTGATATCACTATTCCCGTCTTTAACGGTTGACGAGATAACACGTCTCCCGTATTTTGAGCTTTCACCTTTATGGCGTTTCCCGTCCTGAATGCCAAATTTTTAGTAGTTTTTTTTTATTTTTTGAACATTCAACGAACCTTCTATCGGTTTTAAATTGTTTTCAGTTTTTGGAAGTTTATTCGGAAAATGTCGTGCAATAAGTCGCAAACGAGTACTAATCGAATCGTCTTGGCTCTTGGCTAGTCTGGCTTGCGCCCAACTACTGCGGTTTACACTTAGATTATACAAATCTTAGATGGAACATAAGACACTGCGCATAATCCCACTTCGAAATTATTCACACCCACCAATTACAATAAAGCTTTTTACAACACATAATGGCATTTTCAACGTTAATTTCCAAAATTTAAGTCAGTAAAATATCAAATTAGGCATTCCAAACTGAATGGCTACCAGTGGGTTTTGACGGGTTATGATATGGCAAAATTATGGCAATCCTGTAGGCCTGGTGATTTGACAAGGTCAATGAAATAGATAGTTACATAGATTGATCATCCATATTTTTCAAAATAAACATAAGCTTATGCCTTGAAGTAAAAATGTAAGCAATTATTTTTTTTTAAATATATAAAGGCTAAAAATTGGTTTTAAAACACATTTTTGCTAAACCGATTTAAATTAATAAATATTTGCCAGGCAATATGGCCGCTCGTAAACGATCAGCTTTGAGCAATCTATATAACTATATATGTATCATTGACCCTGTTAATGACAGCATGACAACAGGGTTGCCATATCTAAACTGTCATTACCCACTGGTAGCCATTTGGACAGGTCGTTGAAATGCCTAATTAATTCTCGTTGACACATTAAATTTAGATGACAACGCTCTGACACGTAATGTTCTCAACTGTGATTGGTGAGTGTGAATAGTTTCGAAATGGGATTATGCGCAGTGTCTTATGTTCCATCTAAGGTTTGTATAATCTAAGGGTATACCCCAATTTTCAGCCAACACACTACGCAGAGGGGCGTAATATTGTCAAATTACAATTATATAATTGAATATGTGAAATCGGAGCATAATATAAAGCCGATTTTTTATTACGTTTACCTATTAAAAGTCAAAATGAGAGTTAAAATTAAGAAAAATTTGACAAATATATTTTAAGTTATGTGTTTTATGTGTTTAGGGCTCCGTCAAATATTTCGCTTTTCAAAAAGGTTTCGTCGTCAAAAAAGTTTGAGAAACACTGCTCTGTAATAATGAGATCTATTCATTTAATTTACATTTTGTTATTTTCTCTAATTTTGACATATAAAGCAATATATTTTGTAATCGCAGCAAGTGTCAAAACGATCTACTTTATGCAACCACTTGCATAAAAGTTGATTATGTCAACAGTTACGAAATGAAAAAAAATAAAACTGCTTTTTTTTTTGGTTTTTAAGTCGAAAAATCGATAAATCGAGAAATCGAGAAATCGAGAAATCGAGAAATCGAGAAATCGAGAAATCGAGAAATCGAGAAATCGAGAAATCGAGAAATCGAGAAATCGAGAAATCGAGAAATCGAGAAATCGAGAAATCGAGAAATCGAGAAATCGAGAAATCGAGAAATCGAGAAATGGAGAAATCGAGAAATCGAGAAATCGAGAAATCGAGAAGTCGAGAAATCGAGAAATCGAGAAATCGAGAAATCGAGAAATCGAGAAATCGAGAAATCGAGAAATCGAGAAATCGAGAAATCGAGAAATCGAGAAATCGAGAAATCGAGAAATCGAGAAATCGAGAAATCGAGAAATCGAGAAATCGAGAAATCGAGAAATCGAGAAATCGAGAAATCGAGAAATCGAGAAATCGAGAAATCGAGAAATCGAGAAATCGAGAAATCGAGAAATCGAGAAATCGAGAAATCGAGAAATCGAGAAATCAAGAAATTGAAAAATCGAGAAATCAAAAATCGAGTATTTGAAAAATCGAAAAATCGAAAAATCGAGTAATCGAAAAATCGAGTAATCGAGTAATCGAGTAATCGAGTAATCGAGTAATCGAGTAATCGAGTAATCGAAAAATAAAAAATCCAAAAATTCCAAAAATCCAAAAATCCAAAAATCCAAAAATCCAAAAATCCAAAAATCCAAAAATCCAAAAATCCAAAAATCCAAAAATCCAAAAATCCAAAAATCCAAAAATCCAAAAATCCAAAAATCCAAAAATCCAAAAATCCAAAAATCCAAAAATCCAAAAATCCAAAAATCCAAAAATCCAAAAATCCAAAAATCCAAAAATCCAAAAATCCAAAAATCCAAAAATCCAAAAATCCAAAAATCCAAAAATTCCAAAATTCCAAAATACAAAAATACAAAAATCCAAAAATCCAAAAATCCAAAAATCCAAAAATCCAAAAATCCAAAAATCCAAAAATCCAAAAATCCAAAAATCCAAAAATCCAAAAATCCAAAAATTCAAAAATCCAAAAATTCAAAAATCCAAAAATCCAAAATCCAAAATCCAAAATCCAAAAATCCAAAAATCCAAATATCCAAATATCCAAATATCCAAAATCCAAAAATCAAAAAAAAAAAAAAAATCGAAAAACCAAAAATCGAAAAAAAGCAATGAATAGTGATATTTTATATTTGAAAATATGACATTACGTTTAACAACAAAAAAGAAAAGCTTTAAATTGCGTTTTCTTTTTTAAATAACTGAACACCGTTATTGAAAACTGCCCAGAAATGTTGGTGGTAAAATTTTGACGTACTCCTTTAAGGATAATGGATAAAAATGTTTGTTCTCACTCCGCTCGTCCCGCAAATATTTACTCGTTATAGAAAATAAGGCATTTCGTAACTTGTTACATAAATAGCTATTAATTGACTTCCTAATATTTTAAATTATTGAACAGTAGTTTCAGTAAATAATTAAATCATAAATAATTACCGGCATATACAGTTCATCAAATTTCTAGAGGCTTTCGACGGCTAGACAGAGAAAGCACTACTGACAGGCATCCCGACGGATTTACGCAATGAAAGTACACTCTGCGCATCAAGTATTTCACTATTTCATTCAGACGTAAATGTCAGATGTAAATTTCGCTAAAACATTTCTTTTATTTTCGTTTGTGTTTTTTGCTCATTACAGTTTAATAGAACCTAAGTATGGAGTTTAATAGCAAATTAAGAGGCCGCGTGATTAACAGTCAATCTCGCGAAATAATAGCCAATGTTATAGAGTTTATGAGAAGAGAAGGAAACTTTAATTCACCTTCAATACCATTTAAAAATGTAAATGATCGTGTTGCTGCAGCCACAGGAGTATCTAAAAACACTGTCGTCCGCATTTCTGGAGAGAAAAAAAGAATCGATAACCGTGAGATATCGGAATTTTCATCACCAAGAAAAACCATTAAAAAACCAAAAACAGTTAATGATATAGATGAAGCTGCACAAGAATCAAATTTTATTTTTTTATTATTAGATAGCTATTTTTGTTTCTGAGTTGTGTTCATTTACAGGCTCAATTTTTTTCCGTTTCTCCTTTTTGATTTTATATGGGGTTTCAAGTTGTTTTTGACTTATTTCGACGTAAATCACAACACACTTTTTTAATAAAGCAAACAAGTGTTAAGAGGTATATGTACGTGTAAACTACAATTACAAAAAATTGATATGAAACCCATGAAACCACCAACAAAAACGTAAAGCTAGCTTCCGTACTAGAACATGGTGTCATTCGTCGAGATAATTTATCGTTTTGTTTAATAGATCAAGAAATGTAAATACTCCCCCGTTATTTTTTATAAAATTATAAGAGAAATAAATTTTTTTCTAAATAGTATAGTTTATTATTTTGTAGAAAAACAAAATTTCGAAAATTTTAGTAATGTTTCAGAAACAACCGTTATTAATAATAGGTACCATTTTCCTTAATAAGGTAGAAATAAAATATAAACTATT